GTTTTCAAAGTGCCTCTTAGCTTTTCAGAGAGATTCTGTAAATATCCATCAGTGCCAATACCCTCTAATAACTTGACCATCTGGTTAGAATTTTTAAAATTGGATTTTTCACTCTAGAGATATAAAGATCTGAAATGATGAAAATATCTTTCATAAAGATGTTATGGATTCAAAATACTTATTGTGTATCTTGAGTTTAGCTAACTCCTGCAGAGAGGGGAGAATCCCACCAAAGGGTGAGGAAAGGTTTTATCATAAGTAAGGACATGCAGCCTTGGAAATGATCTTTAAGGATGCCTCACCGAACATAGGAAAGTGTTTAGTGGAGTATATAAAAGCATTGTATCTACTGGCAAAGGTACTTTGAAAACTGTATTACTTTTTCTTTTTAGACCCAGTTGTACAAAAGCTGAACCACACAGGTCTGACTTCTCACAGCAGAGTTCCTAAACTTGCTTGGCCTGTCCTGTGTGTCTTTCTTAGACTTCCCTGTTTTGGTACACTGGCGATCACCAGCCTCACCAGTGACTGCTGTCACATGGGTTTAAGTCATTTGAGTGGTGTGCAGTGGCATGTGGTTTGGTTTCCCTGAGCAGGTTGGTGTTGACATTTTGTTTGTTGATCCTTTGCGAGAGTTCAGTTTTCAAAGTATCTTGTGAGGTTTTTTGCCCAAATTTGATTGGATTTTTTGTCATCTGTAGTCTGATGGATATGTTGCAAATTTCTGAGTTTACCTTTTCTTATTGTTATTATTTTGAGAAACTGGAGTGTCTGATTAAGGATAAAACTGAATTTATCAATTTGTTCTTCTATGGTTACTGCATGTGCATATGAAACCCTAAATATCCTAGTATCACAGAGGTTTTTATCTGATTCTTAAATTTTTATCTTAAGTTTTACAGTTTTAGCTTTTGCCTCAATGATCCACTTCAGGTTTATTAATATGTGAACTATAAGGTTAATTTAACCTGTATGTAGACTGTAAGGTAGATTTAGTCCACTCATTTTAGTTTTAAGTATGAATGTCTACATGTCTGCTTCAAGGACATTGTTGAAAAGCTGTCCTTTCTTCATCAAATACTTTTTGATATATTATTTTAAAATGAATTGAATATATACACATATATATATGTATATATATATAGTCTGTTATATATATTGTTTTTTTCTGTTAATGTGTTTGTTTCTCCAGCCAGTTCAACACTGTCTTAAAAATCGTGCCTGCACTATAACTAGAAGCCAGGTACAAATTCTTCAACTTTGCCCCTCTTTTCTAAATTATTCAGAACACACTACATCATTTCCCTTTTTATACAACATCACAGTGAGTTTCTCAGTGATACTGGAAGAAAGCCTTATGTCTTTTGCCTTTGTTATGTAATATTTGTGACAAAGTTGTCCCTACACAGGTCAGACTGGCCTGGAACTTGCTGTGGAAAGTAGGTTGAACTGAAAGTGGCCATTCTGTTGCCTCGGTTTCCCAAGTGCTTGCTTCTTGTTTTCGGTGCAATGTATTGAATGTATAGAGCATTCTGGGAGAAATGACATCTACAAAACTTGGTAGTCTTCTGGACATAGTTATGTTCTCCATGGATGTGGGTCATATTGAATTTGCCTTAGCGATGTCTTACAGCATGAGGATCTTCCACTTTTTGTTATTTTCTTACATGCTTTGCTAAGATCTCCTTTGGGTGTTAGCAGTGGGGAGTGGGAGCATGGCATACAGGGTCTTACAGTTTAGCTCAGGCTGGCCTGGGACTCTCAATCTTCCTGCCTCACCTGACTGTGTTCTAGAGTTATAGCTCTATACCACCATACCCATGCTTTTCATTTTAAAAGAAATGCTATTCTAAATAGATTTTTAAACAATTTATTACAGTTGTTTGTTGTCAGTATGCAGAAACACAATTATCTTACATTATTCTTAAATTCTGAACTATTGATAAATTCTTACTGTATTTTTTGTCCATCTTACACTTTCTACAGAAAAAAAAATCATGTGTGAATAATTTATCTCTTATTTTGCCTTCATACTGAACTTTTTCTTTTTGAAATAATATTTAATATGGTACTGGCTGTAAGTTTCTTACTGATGTTCCCCCCTCCCCGCCACTTGTCAGATTGAGGGAAGCCATTCTCTGTACATCAGTCAAGAGTATCTGTCAGAGTGCATAGAACTAGATGAAATACGTCTCTTTTAGTGTTGATGACCCTGTTACTCTTCTTTAGTCTGCTGTGTGGTGAACTGACCATGACTATAGTGAGGAGTTGACCTTGCCTTTCTCACACCTTTGCTCTTCACTATTCCTCTGAAGGGAGTTTCACTATTTCCCATCAGCCTAAAATGTCTCATTTAACATTTCTTGTACCACAAGTCTATATTTGATTACTTTTCTGTTTTTTTTTTAAATTGCTGTTTCTTTAGTTCATTTTTTGAAGGATGAATTAATTTAAAATTTTGAGTTGGCAGACATTTTCATTGCCTCATGGCTCATGGTTTCTGGTGCATGGTCAGCCAACTGTCCTGTCCTTTCATGGTATTCATAGCTTCAATTTCTTCTTTATTTATTGAGCTTGAGTTCTCCCATTCTTCTTTCATTTGTAGAATAGTGGTTTGAGCTGAGGTACAGAGGAGGTTTTGAACTTCCATCCTTCTGGGTTTGCTTTGTTGTGACTGTTCTCCTGCTCTTCCTCTTGGGCCATTTCTTCTGCAGCCTAGACTTGATGTGACCTGGCAAGTCCCCAGGGCCCTATTTATTATGTCATCCTTGTACACTCTGTTCTTTAGGTTGTACTTCTTGTGCGTCTTTGTTCAAGGCCATGTGTTCTCTTTCCTGCCTCTTCTCCCATGCTATTCAGTTTGCAAGATGTTTACCCTAGAGATTGTGCATTCCAGTTCTAGAACTTTCTCCTGCTTCATGTTTACACTGTCTATGCTGTGGCTCTTCATCTGTTTATCCGTGAAGACTATTTTTATTGAAAAATATCTTAATAGATACTTTAAAGTTCTTTTCTGTTAATGACAACGACAACATCTGGCTCATCTTATATTGTTTCTATTGGCTGCTTCCTTTAAACACTGATCATCTTTCATGTTCATTCACTTACTTCTATGTCTAATAATTACATTGTATACTGCATTTCCTAAGTGATGGGATATAGAATGAGATTATTCTTTAAAAAGCAGGTGTTGTCATACAGCTAACTATTTGTGATTCTTTTACCTGTTGGTTCTTGGCTTTACCCTGTTCATAGGGTTGAACTAGAGTAGCCCTTATTTGAATTCTTTCTCCATGTACGGTGGCTTTAGTGGCTCAGGCAAATTTTGAAGGGATGACTAAAGAATCTTCACCACTATTTTCTGCACTCATAGTAGCATGCGACCTCTCGTGTTTCTGTTTCTCAAGGAGTTTGCATGGCTTCTTATCCTCTCACCCTTGACCAAAATCTTGTCAGTATCCCCTGAAAACTTATTTTTGTGGCTGTTTCTTCTCCCTCACGGTGTCCTTCAGCTTCTCATCCTTTTTCAACTCTGAACTGCTGCCCGTGTGTCCTCTGCACAGGATGGATGATGTGATCAATTCTACTCTGATGTGGATTGCAAGCAAGGAACTCTCTCTAGGCAGAAATTAAGGCTTTATCTGGAATACTTTCTTTTGCTTATGGACTTCATTTTTGTGTGTCTGTGTGTGGTAGTACATGCCTGTAATCCTAGCACTAGGGAGGCTGTGACATGAATGTGGGGTTCAAGGTCATCCTGGGACATGTAGAGAGTTCAAGGCCATCCTGGGACTTATAGAGAGTTCAAGGCCAACCTGTGTATACCAAGATCTTGTCTCAGAAACATACTTATGCTTTTTATTTGAAAAGAAATGCCATTCTAAGTAGATTTTTAAAAAAAATTTTATGGTTGTTTGTTGTCAGAATGTAGTAGCTGGAATGATTAGTGTGTACAATCAGGCATGACATGAATAACAATTTTGCATTAAAAATGGTGTATTCTCTATTTAATTGGCAATGAAAACAAGAAAATACACAAGAGAAGAGTAGAATTATTTGTTGTTTTACTTCATACTAAATTCACTTTTTCATACAGACAGCATGTTTTATAACATAGTTTTTATATTCAAGAACTAAGTATTTAATTTTCATTTCATAAATTGTTGGAATTTTAATTTCTTACATGCATAATTTGGAGCATGTGTGGGAGCATATACATATATATGTACATGCACATGTATGTGTGTATACAGATAACTGTGTGTTTAATAAATAAAATACAAAACGATAATAAATGAGCTGGTATACTGAATGGGTTTCTAAACTTGACTCAGGCCCTATCACAAGAGTCTTTGCTCACACTGTCCTTTAATAATCTATCTATCTAGTAATGTCTTTGTGTGTGTTCTGGGACTTGAACTCAGGACCTATACTTACTAGTCAGGCACTCTTCCACTGAGGTGTTTCCTCAACCCCAGTAATTTTTGTCTTCTCTGCTTGCCTTGATTGTGTGCTGAGTCTCTCTGCCCATTTGTGAGGATTTAGGAACATATTGTTTCTTTATGCCTTGATTCACACCCTTTTCATCAGTAATGGGCTTGTAATGAAGTCAATTTGTTGATTGTTACATCTATGACAGTGACATGGTATTTGTGGTAGCTATATAGGACAGTCACAAAGGATAAGCACTATCCCCTTTTCATCATTCTAGTATTGGCTTAGCTGAGAAAACACATTGGCTTTCCTTTCCCCAGTTTTAGTCAATTTCTGATAAAATTTTCATTTTCCTGCCTCTTTAATTTATCTGAAAATGTGTTACAGGAGCCTTTCATGGCAACGTTAGAAGGCTATGTGATAGCACACTTAAAATATTGTTTCTGCTGAAGCTGTGATTAATACCATTTCAATTTCAGCTTCAGATATCTGTTTTCACATATTTCAATGAAGGAAAAGTAAACTAGTAATAACAAAATAGTAATTCCTCAAACTCCTCTTAACAGATTCATTTTGATGGCTGGGACCATAAATACGACTACTGGATGGACGCTGACAGCCCTGACATTCACCCCATTGGGTGGTGTGACGTGACAGGGCACCCACTGGAAGTACCATATGGTAAGTAATTTTCTCTTTGTTGTTGCTTGGAAATGCTTAGCATGAATTCCACTCTTAATGGTGCTTATTCGTGTCATTACAGTCATTTGAAAGCTAAGTCACAGATAGGTGAATTAATTAATAGCCATTCAAGCTGACTCTGAAAATCAGTTATTCCCAATTAAGGCTCAAAGGACAGGGTTTAGATTAGATGAGAAGCAATAATCTCTAAGGAACAATTCTCATGTTTTCTGAAGCAGTCTTTCTTGTCTACATGTTGGCTTGAAGATCTGAGCCAACATTTCTAAATCTAATATTTGTCACTGAAGTTGGATCTTTTTTTTAAGCACCCCGTGTTAATTTTATCTTATACAATAAATTATAAAACTTTCAAAAAATATGAAATATTTTAAACTTCAGCAGTTTGAAGAATGAGAGTGGAAGAACACTCTATTCTGTTGGGATCTGTGTGATTTCTGTCTTTCTAGCCACTTAAACCTAAGGAAGAAATTAAGCACTCTAAATTCTAATGAGCTTCCAACCGAAGTGCCTTATTTTGTCCGATTAGGCTAGCATGGCTAATCACTTGTTCTAGGCCTTCGTTCCAACAGTCTCCATTATTGTGTGTGTGTGTGTGTTTTCTTCTACTTACTGGTTCTCCTTCCATCCATCAGTGTATTAAGAAGAAGCTGGAATGTTAGCAAGTGAGCACTTCTTGTTGTGGGATATTTGTACACTGTGTGAAGGTGTATTGCTATGATTGGTTTAATAAAATGTTAAATGGCCAATAACTAGGGAGGAGGGATAGGCGGGACTTCCGGCCAGGGGGAGGAATCTAGGCCCAAGAGAGATGCAAAGAGACATGGAGGAAGCAGAGTGGGTGGTACATAGATGAATAGAGATGGGTTTACTTAAGTTATAAGAGCTAGTTAAAAACAAGCCTAAGCTAAGGTCATGCTTTCATAATTAATAAGTCTCTGTGTCATTATTTGTGAGCTAGAGGCTCAAGGGAAAAATCAAACTACATATGGGGTCCAACATGGTGGCTTGAATATCTGAGCAAAGGGCCTGAGAAAGCTAAGAAAAGTTCTGGACAAGGAGCCAGATGTGGCTTCCTAGTCCTGCAGTCTCTCAAGTGGGCTGATGCTCAGCGACATACAGAGGCATGCCTACTGGCTGCTGGCTGCAGGCTGGAGTCAGCCACCAGTGTCATGCGCTAAGCTGAGTTGTACAGTGACAATCAGAAAACACTGCAGGCACTTGGTAAAGCTAGATCCAGAGACAGAAAACCTCTAAAAAGCTACAGTATGTTTATAAATGTGCTTAGATGCTAAAGAAAGAAAAGAAAATGGATATAGACAGGCTTAGAAAAATAGTTTAAAAATAATAATGTCATTAAAGAAAGAATAGCATATATGAAAAGAATAAGCCATGTAAATATGGAAAATATACAGGATATCTGGATTCTGTATGGTGCTTTGTTGACTTTGAATTTTTTAAACGCTAATAAACAAAAAACAATGGCTGCTGAGAGACATTGGATTATGGAAACTGCTCAATTAAACCAGTTTATATATTTTAAGAATGTCTTAACTTCAAAATGGAAGTCAGAAAATATGTTGCGTTGGGGGAGAGGTTATGCCTTTGTTTCCACAGGAAACAAAAAGTTATGGTTCTCTTCAAAATTAATGAGGATCAGATTTTATTGTGGGAGACCTCCTGAAAATCTTGACTACAGACATGAAAAAAGAAATCAAGAAAGACTACAGGACAGGTGACATATATGCTGATTCCCCTACTGTGGGAACACTTCTGAGACTGGATGAGACATGATAAATCTTGTTGGCTACAGAGTCCTCGTGACTTATTATTGCATGCCATCCTTTCATATGGCATGGATAGAGGTTTGATTATACAAAGACACCTTAGCCCTCAGCTGGTGTCCTGTGCCCATGTGGTGAGGGGTGAGGAGCTGCTCCTGATCTGCAGTTTGTATTCCCAACCATAGTTTATACAGACAACCCTAGTAAGTCATGTTTTATTTCTGATTGGTACTTTAAGTAGTTGATTTATATATTCATATGATTCAAGTCATACCTTCTTTCCTTTAGATGTCTGGTATCCTTGACAACCAGATCAAAATAATTGCATTTCATAAATCTAAACAAAACAAACCAAAATCCACACATAGAGCTCATCATCTATAAACAGATGAAGTCACCCAACTAATGTTAATTTTGAGATATTTTAGTGACATTTCTGCTTGAAGATAATTTTTTGAGATGGGGTCTCACTCTGTTGTCTTGTCTGGACTGGAACTCACTATGTAGACCAGGCTGGACTTGAACTCACAGAGATCTTCCTGCATTTGTCTCCCGTGAGCTAGGATTAAAGACCTGTGCCACAACAACTGGTTCCAATAATTTTTACATTCCATTGTTTTATTTGTAATTCATTATATGTGGCATGCATGCTTTATTGATCAAACATTGCAAAGACTTTTAGAAGTTTAAACTTAGAGAAAATCTTAGACATTGGGTAATTTATCTTCTTAAAGAGTTAGACTTTGTCTCAGAAGTCATCTATGTATCTATGTTATTGCTTTAAGTTTATAAAATTTCACAAGAGACTAAATCAAGTAACTTAACAGCAATATTGGGTAAAAATAAGACAATCAGAAGAAGATGTGATTTGGACTATTTGTAGCCTATTATTCTTATGTCTTTTTTGCTAATCAAGTATTTTTCCTTCCAACCATTTGTACTATTATAACACAAATTATAATATATTTTATATATATATGTATATATATATATATATATAATATTTTATAATGCCCAAGAAGCAAGGAGGAAAGTAAGCACTTCTATATATGCTATATTATGTACACATATATACACATATGTATGTATATATGTGTATATATGTGTATATATATATATATATACATATATATATTCACACACCTGTTTTATTTTCAGTGAGCTCAGATTTTACGTCTAAAGTAGCTATACTTTCTGAATGAATGAAATGGAAATAAAAAAGCCATGTAGCTGCCTGCCTTTAGTAAATATTAAACCTGAGGTGGTCATGTCTTAAAGACTGAGAAGTATGCTCTTGGGTTAGGCCTGTAGGGGCCTGTAGGAAGTACCTGATTTCAGAAAGATACATTTGGACAAAAGACAACCTTTCAAGGGGCAAACAGTCCAGGAACAAGCAAAATTTGAACTCTTTGGTTCTCATTCACATTTTATGAGAATTTATTAAAATTTTAGAACTGTCTAAATAAATGATAGTCCTTTTTGTTTTCATTTTGCCAGTGTCATTTAATCTCATTGCAGAAAGTGAGCCAAGACAGAGTACGCGCCCTCGGAGGTCCTTGTAAGGCTCCACAGTGTCTTCCATACCCATGGGTGCCCATGTCACAGATGTGGGTCCTGTCACAGAGGCTGCTTCCCTCAGGCAGGAGTTGAGTAGTCCTTCAAGAGTAACCCTACACTAGAGTCACTTGGAAAGCTCTGTCATGCACAGTCATCCAATCTTCCCAAGTGTGACTGCAAATGTCACCACCCCCCACCCCCACCACCTGCTGGTAGTCCTTCCCAGTGTCCTGCCTGTATTGCTTGGAACCCAAGTCAATGTCTCTTTCCAGAATCTGGCTTTGCCCAGTTTGTCATCTGGGGGATGACTGTCTAGTGTTGATTCAGTTTCTTTCTCATGGGCTAAAGTTATTCTGCTGGCCATGTCCAACATAGAGTTCTATAATACTTGTTCTACATGTCCCAAAAATGTGGTTCACAGAGGATCCTGGGACACCCAGGACTGTCTTTTAGTTATTGTGTGTGTGTGTGTGTGTGTGTGTGTGTGTGTGTGTGTGTGTGTGTGTGTGAGTGTCTATACATATCAGCAGCTGTTTTTGTTCAGATTCTATCTGGCTTGGTTTTTGAGACAGAAAATCTCTCACTAGCCTGGAATTCATCAAGTAAGTTAGACTTGCTAGGTAGTAATCTTCAGGGATCCACTTCTTTCCTCCTCCCCAGTGCTGGGATATTTCCCACCATGCTGTGCTTCTTTATGTGAGTCCTAAGAACTAAATTCATATCCTTATGCTTACAAGACAAGCACCTTACATACTGTGTCATCTCCTCAGATCCTAGGGTTGCCTTTTGACAACATTTTAATATCATAGTTTGGAAGCTGTAACCCTAGCCACATTTCATACTGTAGTTCCTCAAATAAGCCTCATTTATACACTACATCATTCATTATTGACACACAGATTACCAATTCCATTGGAAAACCGTGTGTCCAGCATTTCTTGCATTAAAAATTAGCCAAGTTTTAGAAATAAGATGCTAGACTTCAAAACCTGACAGCTTTGGGTTTAGATTTCTGACTGACTTTGAACAAGCTACTTTACCCCTGAGCCTTGCAGTTTGGGGAGAATAAACATAATCTTCAGCTTTCATTTTACCTGGCAACCAGCAAGAACCAAGCTAGGACACAAGTCACAGTCCTCTTCAGCATTTTTCATTGGCTCAGAAAATTAGAAAGTTGTGTTTTCCTCCTGCATACCCATTACAATTGTACTGTGCAGAAAGTACTTGCCAATCATTGAGTGGATATCGATTAACATTTAGGACAATTCAAAGCATTTAGAATTAACTATTGGTTCAGACATCTGATAAGCAAATGCTCTAAAGCAAATGCAGCTAAGAACTAGCTTGGCTACTTTTTAAATTAAAGAAAAAAATCAGAATATATTATGGATGTGGAGTCAAATAAAATTACCTCCATCTATTTGTTCAAAAGTTTCTAGTTATCAGATAAAATGGGCAGAATCAGTCTTTGCCTGAGCCCTCTCCTCCCATCTCCTCCTTCTCTGTCCCCTCATCCCCTCCTGTTCCCTGCCCAGTGTTCTGCAAACGCAAGGCAACCTCTCCCCCACAGACATGCATGCCTCAGTCCCCTTTCTATATTTGTGATGCAGACAGTGACCCTTCCTTAGGCCTCTTGATACC